AGCAACCATAAATCTGGTTAAAGGACATTTCAGTTATGAAAAGTGAGAAATATAAGCCAGTAAAAAGACTACAAAGCACATCTTTTTTTTCAAAAGGCAGCAAGCTAGCAAGGAAAAAGCCTATAAAAATTTAGTTCATTCTTACCATTCAAGCTTGAGGCATTGATATGGATCTTGTGTACATGTAGTCCTGGACTCATGACCATTCAAAGTTACAACATCACTTGAAAAAAGTAATTTTTTATAGTTCTTCTCACTTACAAACATTTTTCATACTTACAAGTCAAGCATCCCCTTGGTCACATGATGAAATTTCCATTGCTTGGCAACGCATCTTGAGGTCATGTGATCACCCTTTGCGTCCTTCTGACAAGCAAAGTCAATGGGAGAGCCCAATTCACTTAACAGCCATGTTAGTAACTTACTATGATTCACTTAACAATTATAAGGTCGTAAAATGGGGCAAAATCCATCGATGTTCAATTGCAATTAAATTATACAATGTTCAGTATATTAGAGGTAATCCTCAACTTACAACTGAGCCCAAAATTTCTGTTGTTAAGGAGACATTTGTTAAGTGAACATTTGCCCCATTTTATAATATTTCTTGCCACGGTTGTTAAGTGAATCACTGAAGTTGTTCAATTAGTAATAGGGTTATTAAATGAATCTGGCTTTCCCATTGACTTTGCTGGTCAGAAGTTTGCAAAACAGCATCACGTTACCCCGGGACATTGCAACCATCATAAATAGGTATGAATCAGTTGCCAAGCATCTCGATTTTGATCACATGACCATGGAGATGCTGTGGAAAACAGCGGTAAGTCACTTTTTTCAGTGCCATTAGAACTTTGAACAGTCACTAAACGAACTGTTGTAAGTCCAGGACTACCAGTACTGTTAATCAGATGTAATAAGGATCACAATTTTAAATGACTGTACTGACACTTGAAGCTGGAAGAACAGACAGACATCAGGCAGCAGTATCAGTCTAGCTTTGTGTATGATGTAATCGTTTATATGAAAATGATCCTTCCATTGGTGGCTCCAAAACCGTGTTATCTGCTTCAGAGCCCAATATGATAAGCTTCCTTCTTCTCCTTGCAGAAATGGATTAAATGAGGACACCCGAGCATTTCACAATTATGTGCAGCTCATCTTAATGCTTAACCCTACACAGAATGAATTTGGCTTTAGATATTTTGTGGCATTTTAGGAATCTTTAAAGTAATTTGAGATTCTAAGTTTAAATCAATAATTGTCTTTATAAATAATAACTACTATGCCAGTGTTGGAGTTCGAGGACAACTAGTAACAAATGGGCTACAGCAGTTTTGTGGACGGGCACCAGAAGGGGGGTGGGGGGTGGGAGAGGAAAGAGGGGATGATTCTGTGTGACTACAGCTCCATTTACACAAATGGAGCTGCACATCTGAGCACACTTGCCCCCTTATGAGACCCGATACTGAGCCATGGCCCAGGGACCTCTGGACTATAGGCTTCAGGGCTGTTGGCTGAGCAACCAGACCCGGCAGCTGTAGGACAACTGGAAAAAAAGGAGTCTACCCGTCATAAATATACAAAGATTGAAAACAAAGAAATAATGACAAAAACCAGTCAATAGCAAAAGGCAGTGTTACTTACAGCGGCTTACAATCTGTGATGATACTTTTAATACCTCATAAAACATCATCATCTGCCTATCCCAGGGTCTTGGGAAGGATTCACAGGTAGACAAAAATGCCAAATTGGGTCTAAATATCTGGCTGATTGGGCAACCAACAACAATAATAACTTTAGAATTCAAACAGGTAAGCACCTGCCACATAACATCCCAGAATTAATAACTATCAATAAGAAAGACAGAAAATCTGGATAGTGATTGTTGCAGTACCTGGGGGCTGCAAGAATAGAAGAGAAAAAATTACAAAATGCAAAAAAACCCTGCAAATAGAGTGACTAGCGACTAGCATAGAAAGCAAAAATGGTATTAATAGTAATAGGCCCAAGTAAAAAAGAGGCCATCTTTCCTCACCTCTGGTAGAGGGTTTCCTGTTTGAGCAGAAGGTTATCGGACTAGTAGACCTCCAAGTTCCCTTGTAATTATGTTATTTTGTCAACACAAGGCAGCATTCACAGCTGCCTTGTATTTTTCTCCACAACAGTCATTCACTAAACTTCCAGGGACATGGGTAGGCTTGAATCTGGTCCTCCTTGGCCGTAGTCTAATATTTGAACTACAGGTAGGTCAAAAGACCAACATTGAGCCCACATTTCTGTTATTAAGTGAGACATTTATTAAGTGAACATTTTCCCCACTTCACGACCTTTCTTGCCACTGTTGTTAAGTGAATCTCTGCAAAGTTGAAAAGTTAGTAACAGAGTCATTAAGTGAATCTGGCTTCCCCACTGACTTGGTTCATCGGAAGGTGGCAAAAGGGGATTATGTGAGCCCAGGACCCTACAACTGTCATAAATACATGTCAGTTGCCAAGCATCCAAATTTTGATCACATGACCATGGAGATGCCGCAAAGGCCATAACTGTGAAAAACAGCCTTAAGTCACTTTTTTTCAGTGCCGTTGTTACTTTAAATGGTCACTAAATGAATTGTTGTATGTCAAGGACTGCCTGTACATTTAGTGACTGTTCAAAGTTATATTTGAAAAAAGTGACTTAGGACTGTTTTTCACACCTAATGACCATCGCAGCATTCCTATGGTCATGTGATCAATATTCAGATGCTTGGCAAGTGGTTCATATTTACGACGGTTGCAGTGTCCTGGAGTCACACAATTCGTTTTTCGAATCCCCTGGTCATATACATTTTTGCAACCTCCTGACAAGCAAAGTCAATGGGGAAGCCAGATTCACTTAACAACCGTGGCCAGAAAAGTCGTAAAGTGGGGGCAAACTCACTTAAACAACTTAGCAACGTAAGTTTTGGGCTCCCTAACGGGAGGACTCCCTCTGCTTCAAACCCCGGGATGTCCTAATCGTCGATCAAAGCGCATTGCGGCAAGCGTTACGACGACGCGAGTCCTGGAATACACAAACACACACAAACAGAGCGCTGAAACACAAAAGGGAGGGAGGGCGGGGAGGGGGCACTTACGCCACGTCCCGTCCCCTCGCCGACATAGGTAGGTCTCTCCGATCTCCACGGTGACTTCAGCCTCGCGAGAGGGCGGCGACGAGGACGGGCGGCTCTGGTGGCCCAGGCCTCCCGCGCTGCCTTGCCTCGGCGCCTCCTCTTCCTCTCGCCCCCCCGGCCCCAGGCGTCGTGAGTCCGAGCCGGGGGGGCTACCCCGGTCCCCTCCGCCTTCGTCCGCAGCGGATGCCGTGTTGCCTCCTCCGGGCCCGCCCGCCGCTGCCATGACAACCGCCACAGCGACAACAACTCAGGCGCGGGGAAGACACCCCAATCGCATCTAACGGCTCTCCCCCCACAACTACCTTACAGGCCCAAACCGGAAGTGCTTTCCCTAGGTCATCATAGAGAAAAAACTTCCAGGCGAGGGCGCATACGTGTGACGTCACCAGCACTGGTCACATGATGCCACTCCTTCCTCTTGAGCTGTACTGCTGGGAGACCGAGTTTCCTGGCGGTCTACGGAGATTCTATCATGGTTGTCTCAAAGGTGCTTTGTTTTTAAAGGCAACTGGACTTTTTTTTTTTTTTTTGCTAAAGTCCAGTTGCCTTCTGGAAAAAAAAGCACTTTTGGGATGAGTTCCCTGACATTTGATTCACAGTGATATTAAGGTGGAGAAACCTGTGCTTTCTTTTTCAGGGATACCGTGTCAGACACCGATGGACCTTCAGATATTAATTTACAATTCTCAGAAGTTCCAGCCATTATAGCTAATGAGGAGGAATGATGCGAATTGTAGTTCAAGAACATCGCTGCAGCATTGTTTAGCACGGTGGAGATTGTGCTTCCCCAGCTGTTACCCAAATTAAGTGGGATGCCCTTTTGTTGGCCATAGGGATTATTTTATGTTAAAACTGCTCAATAAAGAGTAAAGCGGGTATAATTAATTTTGCCATGGGCCATTATAGTTATTATTATGCATCATGTCTAGTGAAAAGGACATGATAGCAATGTTCCAATATTTGAGGGACTGCCACGAAGTTCGCATTCAGTTTTTGGTCACCACATTACAAAAAAGATGTTGAGACTGGAAAAAGTGCAAAGAACAACAAGTAAGATGATTAAGGGCTTGGAGATAAAAACATGAGTGGTTGCAAGAATTGGGAATGGTCAATCTAGAGGAAAAGAAGGACTAGGGGAGACATGATAGCAATGTTCCAGTATTTGAGGGGCTGCCACAAAGAAGAGGGGGTCAACTTATTTTCCGAAGCACCAGAACAAGAAATAAGACAAGAAACAAAGGATGGAAACAAATCAAGGAGACAAGCAACCCAGAACTAAGGAGAACAATTAAATCAGTGGAAGGGTTTGCCTTTAGGTGCTCTATCACTGTTAAGGAGAGACTGGACAGGCATTTGCCTGAAATGGTATAGGCTTTCCTGCTTGAGCAGGGGGTTGGACTAGAAGACCTCCAAGGTCCCCTTCCAACTGTATTGTTTTGTTATATTGCAAGTATGTAAGATAATTAAATTGAAGGGACTGAATGATCAAAAGATACCACATATCGAGATATACAAAATCAGACAAAGATTAATTAGGAGATAAGACTCATAATAATCTCATGGTCATGTAGGATCCTCTGAATATAAATATTTGGAGTTCCAAAGGAACTTAATTTAAAAAAATTGTCATGCTTCTTGTGAGAATTGGGGCTTGTGAGAATATGGGGCTTTTAAAGAAAGGTAATTGTAAGTTGTATAATACTACATCAGAGATGCTATTGAAGGATTTAATGCATTTGATTATCTGAGACACTTTCCACTGACACTTTTTTTGTAAACTTTGATGAAAAGAATATTTTTTAAAAATTTTATAAACCTGATGCACCGCAGACAAAGCTTGAGGCTGTATGAAATTACATTTTTAATGAGCTGTTATTGAGAAACACTGATGAAAGCATATGATTACAATAAATCTTAAACACCATCAGTACAAAATTAATAAAATGCACTAGGGCAAATATTCTATACACAGCCTTTTACTCAATTGTTATTCAAGAGTAACACTAAGGAACTTACTTAATGTACAAAGGACAGGAATGTTTCTATTGTTCTCTATGAAAAGAGCCAGCATAAATGAAAACAAGGCTTTTAAACAATCTTTGATTTCAGACAATTTTTTGATGCCCTATTTGGTGAGTTTTAAGTTAAGTGCTATCATGGCAAGTAAAGCAATGTTTTAAATTTAACATTGCTCTTCAAATTTGTTGTAGAAATTGTTTTATCTTATATTCTAACCAGTGGTGGGATTCAAATTTTTTTACTATCGGTTCTGTGGGCATGGCTTGGTGGGCGTGGCAGGGGAAGGATACTGTAAAATCTCTAGTCAGAAGTGGTATTTGCTGGTTTTCAGAACTACTCAAAATTTCTGCTTCCGGTTCTCCAGAACTGGTCAGAACTTGCTGAATACCAACTCTGCTTCTAACTCTGTTTTTGGTATCCTATTTCCCCATGAGTGCCAGTTTGGTATAGTAGTGAAAGCATCACTACTGAGACTAAGTTCTAGTTTCATGGCTCCTGCCTTAGATACAAAGCCAGCTGGATGATCTTGGGCCAGCCACCTACTCTCAACCCTAGGAAGGAGGCAATGGTAAATCACTTCTGAAAAACCCAAGAAAAAGCCAAGAAAACCATACAGAGTTGACCAGTCTCCAAGAATTGGACACAACTGAAAGGAAAAAAAAGTATTTCCCATAATGTACAATTTTGGAATAACTGGGCTACATCAACTTATTGTTTTGACCCTGTGGGCAATAATATTTTCTTAAAAATTGAGGATGGATTGACATAGAAAAATTGGATGAATGACTTCTAAGAATTGTGCAAGATGTGATGCGAATAATTCATGAAATAGGAGAATGCAGGAGGAATTAGTTAAAGCTTTGAAACCATCCAAAGATATCTACAGATAGTCCTCAACTTACAACAATTCATTTAGTGCCTGTTCAAAGTTACAACACTAAAAAGAAAGTGACTTATCTTTTTTCACACTTATGATCGTTGCAGCATTCCTATGGTCATGTGAAAACAAGACATTTCTTCACACAGATGTTAATTGAATTGCTGCAGTTGATAAAATTAGTAACCTGGTTTTTAAGTGAATCTGGTTTCGCTATTGACTTTGCTTGTCAGAAGTTCCCAAAAGGGGATCTTGTGACCATAGGATACAGCAACGGTCATAAGTATGAACCAGTGGCCAAGCATCTGAATTTTGATCACGTGATCATGGGGATGCTGCAACGACTGTGTGAAAAACAGTCATAAGTCACATTTTTCAGTGCTGTTGTAACTTTGTCCAGTCATTAAATTAACAGTTATAAGTAAAAAACTACCTGTATTGTCATAGCCCTAGGATTTTCAAGGCTTTTGTTCTACTGTTTAGATGGTTCTCAACGTACGACTCTTAAGTCTGGCCGGTTGTTAAAAGGTCACAAGACTGCGCTCAATTTTACGACTTTTTGTGAGGTGGTTGTTAAGTGGATATGGCGGTCATAAAGCAAGTCATCTATTGTGAAGTGAATCCATTGCCCACAATGGGAGTATTTTTTGCTGAAATCTGGAAGTAAATGCCAGTTTCTAGCAACCCTCCCCCCATAAATCCAGGCCATGTGACCATGGGACAGTACAAATAGCCATTAAAGGTGGACCAGTTGCTGAGCAACCCAAATGTGATCGTGTGACCGCAATGAAGGGCCTGGTTATCAGAACTTCAGATCTGGGTTATAAGCAGCCCTGGGGCCTGCCCATTAAGCAGTCATAAATTGAGGACTACCTGCCTTCTTTCTGCCCGAATCCATGAAACTCACAATTCACACTACCTTGCAAATATCCCTCCCGTCGATTTTGTTTCGAAAAAGAGTGTGACTTCACCACTGGTATGATTCTCCTGCCCTAACATGCAGCTGTCACAATGAAGCAATCAAGTTGAAAACTGGGCTATTCCAACATTGTCACATACTACTAGGACCAGATCACACCCTATTTTCAAACATGTTACCTGATAGGGGAAATTCAGTCTCAGTGATTGAAACACTAGTTTCTGTGGAAACGACTAAATTACAGGTATGTGTGTCAGATAGGCTTCTGGGTTATTTAACTGTAGAATAGCATTCAGATTCATTTTGTTTTCATCCTGGCTCTTACAAATGGAGTTCCGAAGCTAATTCAGGAATATTGACTAAAAAAATACCACCCAAATTTGTCAATGATCTGATGACTTAATTAATGAGACACTCATATGTGACTTTTGGAGTTCAGTACTTCATCGATTGTTCACTTCTTGAGATGAGTTCATGAGATGTCATAGGTCACCACTAACAATGGTTCCTCCTGTCCATGGTTTTTGTAGTAGAGGGTCCACAGAGCTTGAAATGAATCCGGTACAAGTCATCAACAGAAAAAGTGAGCAATCCTAGAATTCTGAGCAGTTACACCTCTAAAAAGATAGGTCTGTTCCATAATGATAAAAGGGCATTTAGAAGTTTTTACAATTATTCTAAAATCCAGTCAATAGTCAAAATGTCTCAGTTCTCAGATAGAATTTTACAGTCTTGACAGTGAAAGGAATTCCTTTGAATAAGAACTGGTAGACGCATCAGTATGGAGTTTTAAATCACTTTGTAGTTTTCTTGTAGTTATCATAAACACACCATCTGAATAATGTCAACATTAATTAAACTTCTTTAAAGGGTTAATAGATGTTTTCTAGATAATACTGTGGTTAGCTCAATGAAAAAACATCAAAGTACAATTTTACCTTTACTTCGGATTAAAAAAACACAAAAAACCCAAGGAAAATAATCCAGAAAATAAATTCTACTATGCTTTCCTTGGCTATAGAGTATAAACAAAAAAACACACACCAAGATCCTTAGAAAATCCTTTTGCTTTTCCTCAGAGCAGATGGGAAACTGAAACTCCACGTCATGAGCTGCATGGTAGCAAAAAAACAAAGTTAAGCAAAGTAATTAGCTTTGAGTTTCCTATACCAGATAAAATAAGCTTGATCCATGTTGTGTCCCAAAGGCGCTTTTTTTCAGGAGGCAACTGGATTTTCTTGTTTTTTCTTTGAAGAGGTTTCACTTTTCATCCAAGAAGCTTCTTCAGCTCTGATGACAGAATGGGGAATGGAAGGATTTACATTCCTGACAGACAGCTGTTCATTTGCATCCTTTTAAATGGTTGTTGAAGTACTCCCACACCATTGAAAGAGTGTCCATCCCAAATTGTATAGCTAAGAGATGATTCTCAATTTGGGATGAACACTCTTTGAATAGTGTGGGGGTAGCAATGAATTTCCAGAGAAAAAAATTGCGGACTATAGGAACCAGGAGCCCTACTCAAGTGGCCATAAGGACACTGATAAACCTCCAAGTGGCCTCAACGACCCTCTAAAAGGATGCAAATGACCAGCTGTCTGCAAGGAATGTAAATCCTTCCATTCCCCACTATCCTGTCAGAGCTGAAGAAGCTTCTTGGATGAGAAGGGAAACATCTTCAAAAGAAAAAACAAAAATCCAGTTGCCTCCTGAAAAAGCACCTTTGGGACAACCACGAGTTGGATGACTGAGAATCTCTACAGATTCTTATGTTGTGTTAGTTAATATATAGGTAGTCCTTGACTTACAACCACAATTGGGACTGGAACTTCTATTTTTAACCAATGTAGTTGTTAAATGAATTATGTGACCCCACCCCATTTTACAACCATTTTTGCCAGAGTTGTTATGCAAGTTATGCATTCATTTGGCAAATCTGTCTTCTCCCATTGATTTTACTTGTCAGCAGTCAGCTGGGAAAGTTGCAAAACGGCAGTCACTTTAACACCGGGAACACGGCAACTATGTTAAATAAATGCTTGTTGCCAAGAACCTGAGTTGTAATCACATCACTGTGGGAACGCTGTAATTAGTCATCTTTTATTCAGCACCATTGTAACTTCAGGGACTACCTGGAATAAGATGTCAAGTTGTTAGCTCTTACCAACGATTGTAAACTGGCTATAATGGGAGCCTTCCGAAGTGACATGGCCTCTCTCACAACGCATTTAGTAAACATTCAAAGTTACAGCAGCACTGAAAAAAAGTGGCTTATGGCCATTTTTCACACTTACGACCACTGCATCATCCTTGTGGTCATGTGATCAAAATTTGAGGTGCTTGCCAACTGACTCATATTTATGATGATTGGAGTGTCCCGGGATCACGTGATCCCCTTTTGTGCCCTTCTGACAAGCAAAGTCAATGGAGAAGCCAGAATCACTTAACAACCGGGTTACTAACTTATCAACTGCAGTGATTTGCTTAATTGTGGCAAGAAATGCCGTAAAATGGAAGAAAACTCACTTAACAAATGTATCACTTAACAACAGAAAATTTGGGCTCAATTGTGGTCATAAGTTGAGGACTACCTGTACTGCATAAATTAAAAAGAAAAAACAACAACTGTAATTTGGGGAAGTAGCGCCTTTAAAAGAGGATAAAAGTGGCATCGTGAAGTAAACCGCCCAATTGTGACATTCACTAAGGTGGAAATATGGGTAGTCTCTACTTACAGCCATGTGCCTAGTGACCATTTGAAGTTATGACATGAAAAAATTGACTTGTGACCATTTTTCACAATTATGACTGTTGTAGCATCCCCATGGTCATGTGATCAAAATTTGGAGGCTTGGCAACTGGCATGCATTTAGGACAACTGTAGTGTCCTGGGATCATGTGATCCCTTTTTGCAACTTTCTGACATGCAAAATCAATGGGGAATCCAGATTCAGTTAACCACCTGTCAGGGCTCCGACAAATCCACCCCCATTCAAATCATAAGTCTCTAGCCGCATCTCTCAGAGTAAAAAAATTGATTTATTAGGAATGCCATGTTGGTGTTACCTGGGTAGAGTTGACACTAAGACACATCATTCATTTCCCCCTTGATCCTGGTCTTTCCCCCACCCCCTGGATGTATATTCTCCAATGGAACACATTCATAGCTAAAAGTCATCAATCATGCTCTCCAGTAATATTCTTGTGCGCCAACAGCTTCGGCTGCCTAGCAATTATGTAAAGCATTTTAGGAATGCACTACTTTCCCCCTCTCTTTCTGCTGGCAACTAAAAAGACCAAAGAAGTATTTTTTTAGTTGACACCACCGTGTTACTAACTTACCAACTGCAGTGATTCACTTAACAACTGTGGTGAGCAAGATCATTAAATGGGGCAAAATTCATTTAACTTGTCTTGCTTAGCAACAGTCATTTTGGGATCGATAGTGGTTTTACATCAAGGACTATCTTTGTAAGTTGGAGCACATCAGAAATTGCTTGAATCATTCAACAAAATATGCTATTCTAGGGATCAACCATATTTGGCAACAATTCTGCCTCAGACTGGGAGTAGCCCCCTGGGACTTAAAGGCTAGCCACTGGGCACTGGGGTTACACCCTAGGAGAGTAGCATATTAACACTGGTCCCCAAGTTAAGGACAGAAACCTGCTCTTCCCCTGGGTGGACATGGGCCAGGTGACGGGGAAATTGCTGCTTGTATCGGAAAGTTTTCCCACAGGCCGAGCAGGCGTAAGGCTTCTCCCCTGTATGGATCCTCTGGTGTTTGACCAGTTTGGAGTTGACATAGAAGCCTCGGCCACACTGGGGACACTTGTAGGGTTTTTCCCCGGTGTGGATCCTCTGGTGCTCGATCAGGGACGAGCTTTGGGAGAAGCACTTCCCGCACTCCTCACACCGGTAGGGCCGTTCTCCAGTGTGGACGCGGTTGTGTGAGACAAGGTGGGTCTTCTTCTTGAAGCGCTTCCCGCAGAGTGGGCAGGGGAAGGGCTTTTCCCCCGAGTGTGTGCGCTCATGCTTCAGCAGGTTGGAGCTGAGCGAGAAGCGCTTCCCGCAGAGGGTGCAGCTATACGGTTTCTCGCCGGAGTGGGTGCGCAAGTGCTTCACCAGGTTGGAGGTGCGGCTGAAGGCCTTCCCGCACTCCCGGCAGGGGAAGGGGGTCTCTCCTGTGTGGGTGCGCTGGTGCTCGGTCAGGGCAGAGCTGCGGCTGAAGCCCCGTCCGCATTCGGGACAGGCGAAGGGCTTCTCACCCGTGTGGATCCTCTGATGGCCCATCAGGGTGGAGCTTTGGGAGAATCGTTTTCCGCACACATTGCACACAAAGGGCCTCTCGCCTGTGTGAATTCTCTGGTGCTCAATGAGCACGGAGCTCTGCGAGAAACACTTTCCACACTCCGTGCAGTGGAAGGGCTTGTTCACCACTTTCTGGGGTGTGGAGGGCAGAAGAGGAGGTGGCGGTTCCAGAATTCCCAGGAGGTTGATGAAACCTGGAGGATCCTGGGAAACCTCTTTTGTCCGGCGTCTTCTCACCTGGCTTCTCCACCTCTGGTCTTCCACCTTGGCTTGGTTTTGGCAATCCTCAGCTCTTGAATAGCTATTGGGGACATCAAGCTCTTCCTGCTCTTTCTCACCTGCATTAAGAACACCTCTTGGTCTCCCTTCTCTCTCTAGGCTCTCCAGCATTAATGCTCTCTGCTCCAGGCTCAGAGTGGCTTCTAGGTCCTGCTTCTCTAGCCTTCCTTCTGGTGCTTCCTTCTTGAGATCTTCCATCTCAAGAAGACTTCCAACCCCAACACCTGCAGAGAGTAGGAAAAAAGAGTACAGGTAGTTCTCAACTTGCAACATTCATTTAGCAACTGTTCGAAATTACAACGGCACAGAACAAAGTGACTTACGACCAGTTTTCACACTAAATAATAATTGCAGCATCCCCATGGTCACGTGCAAGGGTGGAATTCTACTGGTTCTGACCAGTTCTATAGAAACCCTTGTTAACTTTCTAAGCAGTTCGGAGAACCGGTAGTTAGAAGCAATCTCCTTTTGTTTTTTTCCACCCTTATTACATTCTTGCCAGAACGCCTAGACTTCTTATCTCCGGATCTTCTGAGGCTTGACTTTCTTAAAGGGGAAGGGTTGTTTTAAGATTTTTACACTGCTGTTGGGAGAAAATGCTTCCCTGGACAATCAGCACTTTGAAGAAATAATTGAATAATGAAGCAGAGCTGTCAGAAAGAAGCTTTTAATGACAGGAAACCAAGATGAATGACATTCAGCAAGGCAGCTAGAAAGTTTGACATTCAAACGTGAGTTTATAAACCCTTTCTGAGTTTTGGTCTAAAACTGGTTTTTGGTGAAGGTTAATTCTGTGCTTGGTGACATTTAATCCTATGTTTATTGATGGGATAATTTTCCCTATTCAGCTTCAACAAACAATAGCTACAGTTGTGATTTAATTATTTGTATTGTGTTTGAATTTTTCCCTGCCTCGTAGTTTCTTTTTCTATCGGGGGTGGGGTGTCTTCCTTCACTGCTTTAGTGGTATCTGGCACTGTCCTTTTGGGGTGTACTTCCAAGAGGCAGGATGTAAGCTTGGCACTGATTTTTTTTATTGCCTTTCTGGGGGGGCATGTGACCTTTCCTTAAATCTGGATGGTTTCCTGAGGATATCTTGTGAGGTGAGTGAGACCAGCTGGTGTATTTAATTGGTGCAAATGGATCTAAGGATTGTTTTCCCCGGGTGTGCTTTTTCTGGAGAGCTTAAATGACCTCTCTGCTAAAGGGTTTCACTTTATGAGCAAGAGTTGGCTGCTGATAGTTATCATTGCATTTTAACTATTTTAATTCCTCAAGGTGCTCTGGCACCCTGCCTCATCTGTAACTCCGGCTTGCAGGTATTTTTAATCTAATGATTGATATTTAGGGCAGCTTTTTGCAAGCAAAGAAGCTTTTTGTATTTTTGTACAGGTAATCCTTGACTTACAACAATTCATTTAGTGACCATTCAAAGGTACAATGGCACTGAAAAAAGTGACTTATGACCATTTTCACGCTTATGACCATTGCAGCATCCCCACTGTCATGAGAGGCCAGGTGAGGAGAAAGGACATGAGTGATGTCGTTGGCCATGCCCACCTAGTCACATGACCACCAAGCTACACCTGCCAACTAAGCCACACCCACAGAACCAGCTGTTAAAAAAATGAATCCCACCTCTGGTGATGTGATCAAAATTCGGACGCTAGGCAACTGCCATGTACAGGTAGTCCTAAACTTAGGACCACAATTAAGCCCAAAATTTATGTTACAAAGTGAGAAATTTGTTAAGTGAATTTTGCCTCATTTTATGACTTATCAGTTGTTAAGTGAATCATTGCAGTTGTTAAATTAATAATATGGTTGTTAAGTGAATCTGCTTCCCCATTGATTTTCCTTGTCAGAAGGTCACAAAAGTGGATCACACGACCCCAGGACACTGCAACCATCATAAATGTAAGTCAGTTGCCAAGCATCCAAATGTAAATCACGTAACTGTGGGAATGCTGCCATGGTCATAAGTGTGATAAATGGTCATCAGTCACTTTTTTTAATGCCATTGTAACTTTGAACGGTCACTAAACAAACTGTTGTAAGTCAAAGACTACCTGTATTTATGTCAGTTGCACTGTCCTGGAGTCATGTGATCCCATTTATAACTCTGTCAGCTGGCTTCTGACATGCAAAGTCAATGGGGAAGCCAGGTTGGCTTAGTGACTGCATGATTCACTTAACAACTGCACACATTCCTTTAACAACTGCGGCAAAAAGGTCATAAAATGAGGCAAAAACTCACTTAACATCTGTCTTGCTGTTGTAAGTCAAGGGCTACCGGTATATAGATATCACTTTCTCCTAACTGGAGCCATTTTTTGCAGGGAAAATAACCTCGTATCCAAAACAGGTGTCTATGATGTACTTGCTGCCTTGACACACAGGGAGCTTGCCATTCAAATCTTCCACTCCAGTATTCATTGGCCAAATCCCACAGTGTTCCTAAATAGGGGCCTATTTGGGAGGAGGGTAGACTGAGGCCTCTCTTTTTAAGATGCAAGGAATGCTAGAACAACCTTCAGAAAGCTGTTGTCCCCAGATATGATTGGCTGCATTTCCAGTATGGCTAGTGGCTCAGATGCCTGAAGATTATGGAAGTTGTATCTGTGGAGTCCTTGGTGCTCTTTGAGCTTGGTGGCTTTCTTACAGAGAAATTCATTACAAATTTCATTAAAATCAATGAAATTTCATTTCATTATCAGTGCCCTCATAGCAGAGTTCCAATATCTGAGGGGTTGCCAAAATAAGCGTGGGTCAATCTATTCTTCAAAGCACCTGAAGGCAGATTAAGAAGCAATGGATGGAAACTAATCAAGGAAAAAAACCAACCTACAACTAAGGAGAAATTTCCTGACAGCTACAGCAATTAATCAGTGGAACAACTTGCCTCCAGAAGTTGTAAGTGCTCCAACACTGGAGGTTTCTAAGCAGAGATTGGACAACCATTTGTCTGAAATGGTACAAGATTTCCTGCTTGAGCATGGGATTAGACTAGAAGAACTCCAAGGTCCCTTCCAACTGTTATTCTGCACCAATGATGTTATCTAAGTAGGTAATTAAATGTCTGCAAGAAAACACCAAGAGAGCATTTAAGGACCACACAGTTCAACTTCCGGTTGCTCGTTGTCGGAGCGGAATCTGCAATTGTGCAGTTTCACTCCGAGCTCACTTGTTGGAGGGTCCCGATTGCGATTGGAACCACCCTAAAGGGGTGGTGAAGAAAGGGGGAATTGCTTGGAGGGTTGAGGGGAGCTGCATCTCCCCTCCCTGACAAGAAAAACCCCTTCTGAAGACAAGTTGCAGCGGTGGTCTAAAATGGCCACCATGAAGACGGGAAGCAGTCTGGGAAACTAAGACTGTGCTGGAACAGTGAAGTAGTGAGCAGAATGTGAACCAGGCGAAAAACATGGACTTTAAGGTACCCAGGAATTAAGAAACAAAGAACTATTTAGGAGGAAAGTGTGTAGAGGCAGCAACCAGAGAGAGTGGGAAGGAAATTGAAATTTATAAAATTGGCTTGAACTATTGCAACCAATTAACTTGGAGGAGAAAATTCAGAGGAAAATATTTGACCACAAAAGGCTTGGAAATTAAGTTGGATAACTATTGGACTTTTGGCACTAAATAGGGATAAGTAAATGCTGGAATTGAATGTGTTGAAAAGAAATAACGGCTAATAATTGAAATTAGTGAATTTAACAAAAGTTATATAATAAAAAAAAGGAAAGAGTGAAAGAAAGAGTGTAATGTGGAAACAGAACTAAGAGCACCACCTAATGGTACAGGAAAAATTTCCGCGACTCTTTCAAAAGTGCTTGGTCTTTTTAAAAAATTGGACTTTGGAACTTAAAAGAAAATAAGAGAAACTCCATTATAATAAAATGAAATAAAAATCCTGAAAAGTGATACCAGAATATTACAAGGGGAAAGATACTTGAAAAAACTGTTTTTGGAACCATCCAATGACTTTGGGGAAAAGTTGGAAAAGGACCTAACAGAAGATCTGGAAACAAAGACTTATGAACATTGATTGTTGAAAATTAAATACAGAAGATGCTGGTTGAAATAACATACTGGATTTTTGGATTGGGTACATTTATTAAGGAAGAAGGGGAAAAAAGGAGCAGGCACAATGGGGGAATTATTTGTTGAAATAAGACTGGATTTATAAGATATGAAGGAAATGATAAGTGAGTCTGGAAATGTGCAGCAATATATTACAGAAACTAGAATTGGCGATTCGGCTTGAAGAAGAACAAAGAGAACCAAAGGGGGAGGAATTAAACAAAGAGGAAACCGGTTCTGAAGATCAAGTGGAGCAACGACCATTTAAGCAGGGCGAAAAAAGATTAAAAATTAAAAATTTGTGGTTTGATGTGACAATGAAAGGGGGAATGGTTTGGAAAATGAAACAAAGGAAAGGGAAAAAGCAGAAGAGGGAAGTATAGAAGAAATATCGAGAGAGGGAGGGGGATAAAATAAATAATTGGAATGAAAAATGGAGGGAAATAATAATGGGAAAAAAGGGAATTAAGAGAAAGGACCAGAAAATAAAGAGAAACAGGAAGCAGACAAGAATGAAAATTTTTTTTTACATTGTTAAGAGGATGAGAGACAGTGGTGGGATTCAAATATTTTTGACACCAGTTCGGTGGGTGTGGGTTGGTGGGCCCCGCTTTGCGCTCGTGCACACGCTTTGCGTGCACGTGCACGCCAAACGCGCACTTGGTGCAGGTGCAGAGGCATTCTGATTCGCCTCCTGCAAGCCTGCACGATCCTGGTCACTTCAGCAGCTGCCGTGTTGGCACTCTTCTGTGGCACGCAAAGCGGCTGCACTTCAAATTCAGAGGGTGGGAGCCCGGATGGGCAGGTGGGCCCAACAGCAGAGCAGCAGAGAAAACTGGTTTAGTCTCTGCTGCTCATCGCTACTACCAGCTTGTCAGAACCAGGCCGAACCGGTAGAATGCCACCACTGATGAGAGATAATGGGTAAAAAAGGATAGGGAAGGAGATTCCGCAAGGTAATCTGTTGTGATATATAAGAATAAGTATTGAAAATAGATAAGATTGGAACTGATATTGTTTTTTTCCCTCTTTCTTTTCTTCTTCTTTTTAAGGATTATCCTTGTATTAGATATGGAATTTAATGAAATAAATATGGAAATGGGAATTAACAATAAGAATATTATATGTTAATTGATAATCATCAATGTATAAAACTATGGGGATCATTATGGAAATATTAATATCAGTATCTATAATTAATTGATTAGACTAATATTTTTGCAATGTATAAATATAAGGTGATTGAGAAAATACTATGCGGAAGTTGATTTAAAACATGTGTATATCTGATATGTAGTAGATAGGAAAATATTATTATTAAAGTAGAATGAAGGTGGTAAGCTCGAATTATCAACTAAATGGGAGAAGTTTTAGAACTAATAGAATAAGGATTGGTAAAATTGCACATACGACAGATAAAGGTAATATCGGTAATGAATATAGAAATGAGACAAGAATTTTAGATAATATTGTAAAGTAAGATATGAGACTATCCTAAGAAAAATGAAATAAGATATGAACTGAAATTGGATAAAATAAGCTTAATGAACTTAATATCAATAAGTAATAATGTGATATGGAATTGAATAAATAAGATGAATAAGTAACTATGGTCATGTTTGTATTGAGATGTAAAAACCTGGAACCACACTGCTTGCCAAAAGAGAGGGTTTTTTAATTTAAAAAATAAAAAATAAAAGAAGAAATTGAATAATGAAATTATCATATATGTTTAGATAATATGATGATTGGCACTAGAAGAAAGTATTGAAATATTGAATGATTAGACAATGAAGGATTATAATTTAATGCAAATATATGTATCAAGTGATATGATTAATGTTATTATTTTTGTTTGCACTAAAATATATGATGCATAGATGCCACACTGTTTATATATTGTTGTGTATATGCAGATTAAAATAAAAAATAACCTTGATTTTCAAAAAAAGGACCATACAGTTCAATCCTGGGCTACAAATATTCTTGTCAAGTTTCCAAAAGATGAAACGCATTCAAAAAGAAATATGCAAAGTCCATATTCCAAAACAAATTTATTTTATTTAGGTAAGCATCAAATTGGCAAAGTCTGTTGTAATTCCGGATCTGACACAAACCGGAATTACATCACATAATATTAATATTAGAAACAACCCACAAAAGTCACATTCCTCAATAAAAGGAAATCAACATTGCTTGATGTCTTCAAATTCCACATCCAGTTCTCAGCAGGGAAAGTCTCTGTTCCCACGGGAAGGAAAATCATTTAATCAAGACAATCCTCACTATCTATTCCATCCTCCCACTTTAAGAATGTGGCAAGCCCCAAACCCCTCCTCCTTACACAAGTAAAGAGAAAGGAAAGGAATATATGATTAGAATATAGAGCTGAATAAAATGGCTACACATGTCAATTTTGGGCTCGACAATTCTCTTCTATTGCTCCCATAATCTTTTTACAAATCTACATATTTTTGTCAATTGTAGAAAGCACAAGGCTGCAGACTGTCAGACAGGGAATCTTGTAACTAAGAATCCAATGTAGGAATTCTTCATTAGGAGCAGAAAATAGAATTACGGAAGGTACATCTCAACATGGCAGATTGTTCTACAGCAGGGGTGTCAAACTGGTGGCCTGTGGGCCGGATGTGTCACGTGTAGGCCATGACCACCCCAGCTCCATGAATGGGGAAAATATTGCAATACATCACGCAATATGATGCCGCAAGTTTGACACCCGTGTTCTACAGTAAACAGAAGTCAGTGTGTGGCATCATTTTGCTACCATCTTATATTAGCCAATCTAATTTTTTGGGCCTGTACAACAGAGTGAACCGCTGCATTTCATGCCAGGCTGACATGTCATGTTGTGGCTCAGTGCATCATGCTATCAAGAGCTATGAAATTCAGGTAATCTGTAGCTGAACGCAGCTGCCACCTGGCCTTAAGATGTTGATTGGGCCGGTTGAAAGCGAATGCAAGATGAGCACTGAGCCTGCAGAATTTAATTTATGGGGCTTGGAAAAAAAGCATTTAGTATAGCAATTAAACAAGCAGATGCTAAGAACCATTCCTGAATCTTTTTAGCATAGTGCAGCAACAGGGATAGGTTTCAAAAGAAAAATTTGCAAATTTTGAAGAGCTGCATCTTTGCAATTCCAGGCATGGACCCTTGGGCAACGAAACAATCTACTTAAATGTTTTCCTGTGTTCAGGTTTTCTAACTGGCCAATTGCTCTTCCACTGTGGTACAAAGACAGTATAAAGAAAGAATTCTAACCCCACACCAAGAGTATAAATTAAAAATATATTATAAATTAATTAATCTGCTGCCTGTCGCCTTTGTTTAAAACACTCAAATTTTAAAATACCCCTTCCATCTCCATTGTTTCATTTCCTCATTTCTCAATACTCCCCAAAATGCCTTCCTGAAGTTCCTGTCAACTATAGAGTTTAAAACCTCCTAGATAACACTGAGATGCATATTATTCTGATTTCCACTTTCCCGGCTTTTTCAAGACTGCATCAAGTTTTCAAGCTGCACATAACCAGCCCGAAGAATAGAGTCCATATTAAATATAATAATAATAATAATAATAATAATAATAATAATAATAATAATAAT